TGTCACTTGTTTATCTTTTACTGCTTTCAGTATCCTCTCTTTGTTCTGCACATTTAGTGTTTATACTATGATATATTGTGGGGAGTTTCTTTTCTGATCCTGTCTATTTGGTGTTCTATGTGCTTCCTGTATTTGTATGGGGATGTCTTTCCTTAATTTTGGGGAATTCTCTTCTACAGTCCTGTTGAAGATCTGATCAATACCATTAATCTGAAATTCTTCTCCTTCCTCTATTCCTGTGATCTGTAGGTTTGGTCTTTTCATGGTATCCCACATCTCTTGTGTATTCCATTCCTGTGTTTTTAAAAATTTTCCATAATGTTTGCTTGAATGGTCCAGTTCTTCAACTTCATCCTCCAGTATTGATATTCTGTTTTCCATTTCATTCATTCTAGCAGTGAAGCTTTCCCCTGTTGTTTCAAGTTGGCTTATTGAGTTTTGCACTTCCTTCTTCATTTCTGCCTGAGTTTTCTTCAATGTTTCTATCTCTTTTGTAAATTCATTCAGCAGTTTATCCCTGTCTTCTTTTATCTCTTTGATTTGTTTGCTCATGTGTTCTTTAAATTTGTTGAATTCCTTGATCATGTTTATGATTGTTCTTTTAAATTTAGTGTCCTGAGTTATCTCTAGGGGGTTCTCCTTGTAGAACCCTTCTACAGGATTGGTGGGGTTTGGTGGGGACACAGTGTTTTGGCTTTCCATTTTATTATTATTTTGTTGTGATTTTGGCATGTGTATTTCTTTTGTTGTTTATGATTCTGACATGAGAATTAAGTTGAATTATGCTTCTGTTTGTATTATTGGGGTGCCTAGATCTTTTCTTTATTGGTTATGTAAAGCTGGTTGGTACAGGGTTCAGGTTCTCTTAGGTTTAATTTGGAGGGAACTGATGGCTTCAGATCAGCTATTCAGGAGTACTCACAGAAGCCCAATTCAGGTTCCCATCAGGTACACTCAGGCTTCCTTTACCATGTGGAGGCAGGATCTGGGTGCTCTCAGGCAGTCCCCTGCATTCTCAACCCCTATGCTAGAGGGAGGCCAGAACTCAGCACTCTCTGGTGGTCTGCTGAGATCCAAGCTGCTATACCAATGGAGGTTGATACCCACCCTCTCAGGCTGTCTGCTAGGATCTCAGCCTTAGCCTACCAAAGCCAGATCTGCCCTGGGGCCTTGGGAGGGGCCTCACAAAATCCCAGGTAGGGGGATAGGTATAGCACAATTAGGAGGCTCTCACTACCATGTGGAGGCAGGATCTGGGGGCTCTCAGGCAGTCCCCTGCATTCTCAGGCCCTCTGCCAGAGGGAGGCCTTAGGGAGGGCAGAATTTGGCACTCTCTGGAGGTCTGGTGAGATCAGAGTCACTACACGGGTGGAGGTCAGAACCCACCCTCCTGGAGTCATTTTCTTAAAGAAGATCTACTCTCCCTACCCCACAGTAATCATTTGCCAATAGTTCCTTGGCTAGGGCTGGGATTTGGTGCTCATTTCACCATTCTATGCTAGGTTTTTGTCTGATTGAGTTGGCATGGGTCTTGTACATGCTACCAACATTGCTGCAAGTTCATATGAGCAAAGTTTCCAATGGCCTGAAAGTCTCTGTTTCCTTTTGTTCATGCACAAACTCTGGCTAAGTTTTACAGAATAAGAGACTACAGAGTGCCAGTCCCTGGATAGGACTCCTATATCAAACCCCACTCACCCATGGCTCAGGGACCATTGTGGAAGAGAGGGCAGAAAGACTGTAAGAGCTATGGTATTTTTTTTTTAAAGTGAGTTGTCAAAGAAGAGAGTTTCTAGACCTGGTCCAGATATCATTGAGGCTGGGGGAGGGACATAAAGATGCAGGCGCAGGGGCCAGCCAGGTCTGAGTCAAGAGGCACACCTGTTAGGAACAGGAGAGACACCCTCACTAGATGTCCCACAGCACCCCTTCCATACTTCTAGGCTGCACAGTAATTGAAGATATTCAAGTCCTGTTCAAGAAACATAGAGAGGAAGAGCTGGAACAGAGAAGGAATCTGTACAGGTTAGACTGACCCAGGTGACCCCACAGTGAGCTGCTTCTGCAGTGCCAGTGCCTGATAACATTTCTGCCCCATAGGTGGGGCAACTGGAAGGATGGCTTAATCCTGAATGTGGCAGGGACCAGTTTATCTGACCTCCCTGTAGATAAGTGATTTCGGGAGGACAAATGAGTTGAATTTGATACTTTGCTGGTTGTGGGGTGAGAACAAGGCGGATGATGTGTGAGAGGGAGGCTGGTCTATCTAGTGGAGGCCAATGGGCTTGTGGGCCAGTCCACGACAGGCACTTATGATTGTGATGTTTGAGTTTAAGGTTAACTGTCAAACCCTTTGTCTCTTTCTTCCCTGAAGGGCAGTGGATACTGTTGTCAGCTTTCCTCTGAATGTTGTGACAAGTTGGAAGAAACTAGATAATTTCAACTGGGTTTTCAAGAGAGGCCACACCAAGATGGCTGGTCAGTTCCCATACTTAAAAGTGACTCTTACCCCCAGATCTTCCCAATGCAGGGGGATTGAGAGAACTGAGCTGGGAGACCAGAGGCTTGGGGTCCATCAAGTAGGGATGGTTTGGTGTGGGGGTTGGAAGGGACCAGGAACTTGAATCTCAGATGCACTCGCCTCCCATCCCTAGAGTGGGTTAGAGATTCCTGGAAGGAGGATGCTTTCTTTGGGTATCAGTTTCTCAATGGTGCCAACCCCATGCTGCTGAGGTAGTCCACTTGCCTTCCTGCCTGCCTGGTGTTCCCTCTGGGGATGGAGGAGGTGCAGGCCCAGCTGTTGAAGGAGCTCAAGGTATGAACACCAGAGCCCTAGGGAGGCCAAGAGGGAAGTGGTGTTGGTGTCAACTGTACTGCACTAGGGTACACTGTGGAGTCAACTTGCTGCTGATTGTTGGGAAGGGATCCTACAGGAGACATCCTGAGATCTCTCCCCTCCCCCGGAGACATGCAGCTCCATGGTTTCCCCACTACAGGAGGAAAGTGCATTGTAGAGTGCTGTGGTATTAGGTAGGATGGTCATAGAGACTAAGTAAAAGTTTGGAAATTTGCGGAATAGGGGATCAGGGTCAGAGGAGTGTGGCTGTTAATCAGGAGTCGACATAGCACAATTGTTAAAAAAATATTTGTGGGACTAGACTGACTGAAATTTGGTTCTGCTATTTGTATGCTCTGTGATTTTAGACAAGATATTCCATTCTCTGATGTTTCCTCTTCTGCAAACGCAGTTAATTAAAATGGCATGTATAGGAATTATGTGTGGTTGGAATGTTGAGATGGCTTAGTGGGTAGAGGCACTTGCTGCCAAGACTAATGACCTGAGTTGGATCCTCAGGACCTACATGTCAAAGGTGAGAACCAGCTCCCACAAATTGTCCTCTGACATTACACGCATGTTGAGGCAAGTGTGCACACAAACTCCAAATAAATAAATATAATTTAAAATGTAAAAAAAGAAAAGACTCATGTGAGGTAAATAGAACACCTGGTGTATAGCAGCTGACAGAGACAAGTAATTTCCCTTCTTTTCTCTCTTTGTGGAGGAATCAGGGTGGGAAGAAGACTCTTTTTTTTTTTTTTTTTTTGGTGTTTTTGAGACAGGGTCTCCCTGTAGCCCCAGCTGTCCTGGAACTCACTATGTAGACCAGGCTAGACTTGAACTCACAGAGATCCACCTGCCTCTGCCTCCCAAGTGCTGGGACTACAGGCGTGCACCACCACACCCGGCAAGAAGACTCTTTTGTAAAAAAAATTTATTTATGATTTTTATTTTATGTGTACACGTGTATTACCTGCATGTAGGTAAGTGCACCCGTGTCATGCAGTGCCCGGGGAGGACAGAAGAGGCTGTTGGATCCCCTGGAACGGGAGTTATGGACAGTTGTTAGCTGCCATGGGAAGAAGAGCAGCCCTAGCTCTTCCCCCCATGCAGGGAGGCACTCTGTTTGAAGCTGATTTCTCCATTCTGGATGGGATCAAGGCCAGTGTCATCCCTTGTAGCCCATAGTACCTAGCTGCTCCTCTGGTCATGCTCAAGCTGCAGCCCATTGGGAAACTTACTCATGGCCATCCAGGTGAGAGGACCCAGGACTTCTGTACCCCAGTAGTGTTCTTCTCAGATGAGCTCTTTGTCCAAGTTCACTAATTACACACTCTGCAATAGCACCACACAGAGGTGCCGAAGAGACATGAAAAGGGGATAGATGGTCTTTGATCTAAAGGGATTTGCAGTCTTGCTGGAGGGAGAGACTGGATGAATCTGTGTAAGCTTCAAAGCCTAGGATAGAGGTGGATCCTTGGAGGAGGGTCAGGAAGATGGGAGGGGCCTACCCCTAAGGCAAGATGGGCTAGACAGAGAAGTTGATGATGAGAAGTCAGGAGAATCTCAAAGAACAGTTAGACTGAACTGACATGACAGGATTAGCTAGGTTGAGCTCAGGAGGAAGACTGTAGAGAGCTGGGAAAGGCCATGGTGAGAGGTGCTGTGGGCACCCTAGGCAATTATGTCAGGATGGACAGAAGATGGGAGTTACTGATGCAGGGTTTAGGGCATGGTGCTAAGGCTACAGGAGTAAGGGGCACCCAGGTGTACAGTAGCTGGAGGGTTGGAGAAGGATGGTGGGAGAGCAGAGGGAGATCAACTGGTCAGACCCAAAGAGACAGGAAGAGAGAGTCAGGGAGACATCTGCAGAAACAGGACAAATTAAGAGGGAAAGATGTCCAGGCAATCTTGTGAATTTTGAGGCAATGGGGAGTTATACATTCCTCTCCTGGGCTGCTGAGACCTGGAAGTTAGCCTTGTGTAGGGGTGGTGCTGCTAGATCAGGGAGAGGGTATCTGTGCACAAGTGAGGGATGGAGGACATCTGGTGGTGAATCTTGTTCACACTGAGGGGAATGAAATGGGCAGTGGAGGCCGCAGCAGGAAGTGGTAGCAATTCTGACTGCAGAGGAACCCAGGCCTGCGAGTTAGCAGGCCCCAGCGAATGGGTGGGAGAGAAAGGGCAGGAGTGGCGGCTGGTAGAGTAAGATGGGGGAAGCCAAGCAGAGTTGGAGCAGAAAGGGAGAGCTGACATATGCAGGAAACAGGGATGACGGCCCCTCGCACGCAGTTCCTTATTGAATTCTTTGGTTTCTTGCTTGTTTGTTTTGTTTTTCCCTTTTGACACAGGGTCTCCCTGTAGCCCCAGCCAGCCTGGAACTTACTATGTAGACCAGGCTGGCTCAGTCTCACAGAGATCCACTTGCTTCTGCCTCCAGAGTGCTGGTATTAATTGGCATGTGCCGCCACACCCAGCCCTCATCTAACTCTTTCTTCACATTCTTGTTTTGCTCCAGCTTGAACTGCCCAAAACTGGGTCCACCCCACCACCGATTTTCATGCCCACAGATCCCCCAGTGGTCTGGTTCCTAGCCAAGTGCTGGGTCCGTAGCTCTGACTTCCAGCTTCATGAGCTGCAGTCTCTTCTTCTGAGCAATGGCGGAGGTCATTGCTGCGGCTACCATGAGGTGCCTTCCATCAGTACACCCTGTTTTCTGCCTGCTCTCTGTGCCCTCGACACATTTCTGCCTCTGGAGGATCCCTCTGTGGTATCTTAGGGTTTAGGAAGAACTCATTAATGAAGACAAGAGCTCAAGGCAGTGTGAGGTGGTCTCTTCTACATTTTCTACGATCATATCACTTCCTAATGGGTAGTGATTGTTCCTGGGGGAAAAGATGAAAAGAATTTATTCTTTTTATGCATAAATCACAGATATTCATACAATATAATTAGTCGATGCAAATGACTATAGAGTCTATCCAATCATGCAAATAACACGAGACTCTTCACAGTAGTCTGTGAAGAGTTCTAACACAGTAAACTAGATCAAGGAGAGTATCTTGGTTTACTACAGTCCATTATTGTAAAGGGTTCATCCAGTAAAAACAGATATTGGGGCCTAGAGTGGTGGTGATCCCAGCATTTGGGAGGCAGAGGCAGGAGGATCTTAGTGAGACTGAGGGCAGCCTGGTCTACATGCGGAGTTCTAGGCTAGCTGGTGCTATAGGGAAACCCTGTGTCAACAAACAAATAAACAAACAAAAATGGGTATTAGGTGCCTCAATATAGAACCATTTTAGATGTCTGTGGTGACATCTGATCTTTTGAGATTTTCACCTCCAGTAAGAGTGAAAAGTCAATACGGACTGTCTTGCAACATACTGGCTGTGGTTAGTACAGTGCAGAGAATCAGAATCAGAGAAGAGTGATGTGAGGCCAGGTTTAGTTTGGGTGATCATGAAAGACTCCTTTAGGGGTTGGAGAGATGGCTCAGTGGTTAAGAGCACTGGCTGCTCTTACAGAGGACCCGGGTTTGGTTCTCATCACTCATAGAGAGCTGTTAACAACCATCTATAACTCCAGGTCCAGGGAATCTGACTCCCTCTTCTAGCCTCCGTGGGCATTGCATGCTCATGGTGCACTTACATACATCAGGCAAAATACTCAGATGTATAAAATAAATGTAAAAAAATTGAAAAGAGAAGACTCCTTTGAAGAGAGAATACAGAGAACGAAAGCAGTGATCATAAATGGATGATCAGTAAGCAGATGGTCTGTGGAACCTGGGGCAGTTGAAATCAGCAGCCAACTCTCAGGGACGAGGTCTCCGAGCCACTCACCCATGCTTTTTTAAATTTTTATTATTTTAAATATTTTATTTATTATTTTTGTTTTATGTGTATGCGTGTATTGCCTGCATGTAGGTAAGTGCACCTGTGTCGTACAATACCCGCGGAGGACAGAAGAGGCTGTTGGATACCCTGGAATTGGGGTTATGGATAGTTGTTAGCTGCCATGTGGGTTCTGGGATTCAAACCCAGGTCTTCTGCAAGAACAACCAATGATCTTAACTGCTGAGCTAGCTCTCCAGCCCCTCTCCCATGCTTCTGGGACATTTCTGCTTTTCCTCTTTATCAACCCAGCACAGATCTCTTCTCACTCATCTGTCCTTGCTCTTCTCTTTAGTTTCTAATTCCTCACCTGCTCTACACCATGGAAATTAATGTCCGGGCCAGGAATGGGCTGATCTCCGAGAATGGAGTTTTCAACCAGGTATGAGGACAGAAGGAGTTCTGGGTTCACTCTCATCTCTGGCTCTAGTTTCAGGGTAGCTTGTTGCCTGAATCTGCCTGTTCTTGTTCCTTAGATGATGAGCACAGGTGGAGGAGGCCACCTGTATCTGCTCAAATAAGCTTCAGCCTTTCTGACCTATAGCTCACTCGGTCTCCCTGATGACTTGGGTGAGCAGGGGCTCCTGGGTATGGAGTCTTGCTTCTATGCCCAAGATGCACTGTGGCTCTGGGAAGTCACCAATGAATCAGGCAGGACTGCAGGGAAAATGTGTGTGCCAGTTTGGGTGGAGAAGGCCAGGAGAGCAGGAGGTCTGTGCTTTGGTTAGGGGTGGACACACTGACCTGGCCCTATGGTCAAGGAGCTTTTTTGCCCCGACCTTTGCCTGGTATGTTGTGTCAGGAATGTTAAGTCTCTACTACAAGACAGACGTGGCTGTGAGAGATGACCATGAGCTGCAGAACTGGTGTCGAGAGATCACTGAGATTGGGCTGCAAGGTGCCCAGGACTGAGGTAATAGGAGGCCCTGGTGTATGAACTAGGACACATGTTACACGATTTCCCCAGAATCCCGTTTACTTCTGTGGAATCTTCCAGAAACATTTTCAATCCCTATGAAAACTAACTCTAAAGGCTTTCCTAGATGTAGTGGGAATAGTGCTCGTAAACGCTCAATACTAGGCCCTAGAACAAGACCTTGCGGGACCCAGGAGGATGGCTCAGCTTGCAAAGGGCTTTCTGCTGAAGTGTGAAGACCTGAGTTTGCATCCCCACCACCCATGTAAGAAGAACAATAACAGTCATGTGATGCGTCTGTGAGGGAGATAGGCAGATCCCTACTGCTTATTGGCCAACCCACCCAGGCATCAGTTTCAGAGGGAGACCCTCTCTCAGAAAATAAGGTGGCCAGGTATGGGTCCCAGCACTCAGGAGAGAGAGGCAGGCCTGGTCACAGTGAGTTCCAGGCCAGCTGGGGCAATAGGAAGACCCTGTCCCAAAAAGACCGAAAAAAGAAAAATAACGTGGAGGGCAATGGAGGGAGACAGTTGGTGTCATCCTCTTGCCTGCACACATGTACATAGGTATATTCACCCATATGGAATGTATATATACCACACAGGTGCACACCCCCCCCCCACGAGCCCTGCTCATAGGGCCTGTAGCATCTGCCCATTTCTGTGATGTAAAAGTCCCCATTGTAGCTATCTTTGTGCTGCCAACGAGCTTACCACACTATTGAGACATTACATCATGTTCTTATGTGAGCAGGCACCAGCACCCCTCTGACTGGGACCTTCCCAGTAGAACTCCCCTGTTCCCTCACCAACCACTCTCAGGCCAACTTCCACAACTTCCCAAGAGTTGCTGTTACCTCTCACCTCCCTTGTTCTCCTCTGTAGCGCTCACGTCTCTTGATTCACATTCCTGATCATTGCTAGGTGTGCTGTGTCCTCCTCTGTCCTTTTCCCATCATTCACCTCTTTCAGAAGGCAACTAACAACCATGTTGAGGAAGTCTTTCAAAACTACAACAGTGTTATAAAACCTACTTCTTGTATGAACTAAATAGATTTTAATCCTAATTTGAGTTTAATAACAAAAAGACATTTTGGATTAATGGTAGAAATTAACATGGATCAAATTAGTTTAAAAATATTGGAAAAAATTCTAGAGCATCTACATTATTTTGTGTTCTCTGGATAAGATTTAGCACAAAGCAATTGCCAAAATATTTGGACTCTCAAGATTTTCATTTCATGAATCACTTAAAAATGGTAAATGGCGAGAAACTGGTTAAATTTCTTAAAAATGTTCCTGGTTGGAGATACTTGCTTTCAAGACTTCAGCTTGAGGGAGCCATGTCTATAGGTTGTTTGCAGTTTACCAACTGGGAAGCTCCAAACTAATATCATTAATAGGACCAATTCTAGAAAATCACATAGTTGTCTTAGTACAACTTGGATTCAATAAAATCTACCTCTGCCTCCAACTAAGATTTTTGGAAGAATAAACTTGGGAGTTTACTTCCTTTATATGATGATAATCTGTGGGTATTTAAAAACAAACTAGTGGGTCTAGAGAGATGGCTCAGCAGTTAAAAGCACTGGCTGCTCTTGCAGAGGACCTAGGTTTGATTCTCAGCACCCACATAGTGGCTAACAGCTGTTCATACCTCCAGTTCCAGGGAAATCCAATGCCCTCTTCTGACCTCTGCAGGCAATACACTCATACACATAAAATAAAAGTAATAAAGTATTAAAAAACAAACTAGCAGCGTACATAAGTCCTGAGTGTTTCTTTTATAATAAAATCAAAGATTTTATTGTCCCTGATCTTAGTTCTATAAAAGACATATGGGTGCTTTTTCACAACGGGTTTGCCTTCAGAACACAGGGGTTGTGAAAACCATTGCTAACTCGAAGCCAAAATGGGAAAGGAAAAGACTCATATCAACATCGTGGTCATTGGACACGTAGATTCAGGCAAGTCAACCACTACCGGTCACCTGATCTACAAATGTGGTGGAATCGACAAACGAACCATTGAAAAATTTGAGAAGGAGGCTGCTGAGATGGGAAAAGACTCATTCAAGTATGCCTGGGTTTTGGACAAACTTAAAGCTGAGCGTGAGCATGGTATCACTATTGACATCTCCCTGTGGAAATTTGAGATCAGCAAATACTATGTAACTATCATTGATGCCCCAGGACACTGAGACTTTATCAAAAACATGATTACAGGCACATCTCAGGCTGACTGTGCTGTCCTGATTGTTGCTGCTGGTGTTGGTGAATTTGAAGCTGGTATCTCCAAGAACAGGCAAACCCATGAGCATGCCCTTCTGGCTTACACACTGGGTATGAAACAGCTAATTGTTGGTGTCAACAAAATGGATTCCACTGAGCCACCCTACAGCCAGAAAAGATACAAGGAAATTGTTAAGGAAGTCAGCACCTACACTAAGAAAATTGGCTACAACCCTGACACAGTAGCATTTGTGCCAATTTCTGGCTGGAATGGGTACAACGTGCTGGAGCCAAGTGCCAACATGCTTTGGTTCAAGGGATGGAAGGTCACTCATAAGGATGGCAGTGCCAGTGGAACCACACTGCTGGAAGCTTTGGCCTGTATCCTACCACCAACTCGTCCAACTGACAAGCCTCTGCGACTGCCCCTCCAGGATGTCTATAAAATTGGTGGTATTGGTACTGTCCCTGTGGGCAGAGTGGAGACCGGTGTCCTCAAACCTGGCATGGTGGTTACCTTTGCTCCAGTCAATGTTACAACTGAAGTCAAGTCTGTTGAAATGCACCATGAGGCTTTGAGTGAAGCTCTTCCTGGGGACAATGTAGGCTTCGATGTAAAGAACATGTCTGTCAAAGATGTTCGACGTGGAAATGTTGCTGGTGACAGCAAAAACGACCCACCAATGGAAGCAGCTGGCTTCACTGCTCAGGTGATTATCCTGAACCATCCAGGCCAAATTAGTGCTGGCTATGCCCCTGTGCTGGGTTGTCACACAGCTCACATAGCTTGCAAGTTCGCTGAGGTTAAAGAAAAGATTGATCGCCATTCTGGGAAGAAGCTGGAAGGTGGTCCTAAATTCTTGAAATCTGGTGAATGCAGCCATTGTTGACATGGGTCCAGGCAAGCCCATGTGTGTTCTCTGATTATCCTCCTTTGGGTCGTTTTGCTGTTCGTGACATGAGGCACACAGTTGCTGTGGGTGTCATCAAAACTGTGGACAAGAAGGCTGCTGGAGCTGGCAAGGTCACCAAGTCTGCCCAGAAAGCTCAGAAGGCTAAATGAATATTATCCCTAATACCTGCCACCCAGTCTTAATCAGTGGTGGAAGAACGGTCTCAGAACTGCTTGTCTCACTTGGCCATTTAAGTTTAATAGTAAAAGACTGGGTAACGAAAACAGTGCATCGTAAAACCTTCAGAAGGAAAGGAGAATGTTTTGTGGACCATTTTTTTTTGTGTGTGGCAGTTTTAAGTTATTAGTTTTTAAAATCAGTACTTTTTAATGGAAACAACTTGACCAAAAATCTGTCACAGAATTTTGAGACCCATTAAAACAAGTTTAATGAGAAAAAAAAAGACATGTGGGTGATACTTGGTCTGGCAGTTTTGTGTGTGTGTGTGTGTGTGTGTGTGTGTGTGTGTGTATGTGTGTGTATTGCTAGGGATGGAACCCAGGACTCCAGCATACCAGGCAGAGCCTCTAGCACTGAGCTCTATCTTCAGCCCTTGGTCCAATTCTTGAAGGAAGAATAGGGTTGAGGGGGTCAGCATTGTGTAAAGTTGGCATCTAGGAAGATCTGTAGCGTCAGGAGAGGATGCTGCAGTTTCCACAGAACTGAAGTGGTAATTGGCGAGTGGTGCGGTGATATGGGGGCTGGACCTAGGAGTGAAGCCCTGTGAGGATCACAGTGCCAGGAAAGTAGGTGGTCTTGACCTCCATGGAAGTGCTGGCTTCTCCTTGGGGGCAGAGCTCCCCAGAGGCCCCTCCTACTGGCCCTCTCTCCTCAGAAACCATACCCTTTTTCTTGGAGGCCTCTGTCTCTCTGGAGCCTGAGCCTTCTTTGAGGCTGTGTTCTGATCCTCAGAGGCCAAATCCTTCTTGGTTGTGGCCACCAGGGGGAAGCCATCAGACCTGAATGGATTACCATGGAACTGCGTAAATAACCAGGAGACTCATACGGCTCCTTCACACACCAACAGTCCCAGCAGCTCTGTTTTTATTCTCTCTTTCTTTTAAAATACTTTATTTATTATTTTTACTTTATGTGTATGCATGTATCACCTGCATGTTAGGTAACTGTACCCATGTCGTGCAATGCCCGGGGAAGACAGAAGAGGCTGTCGGATCCCCTGGAACTGGCGTTAATCAGACAGTTCTTAGATGCCATGAAGGTGCTGGGATTCAAACCCGGGTCTTCTGCAAGAACAGTCGGTGTTCTTAACGCTGAGCCATCTCTCCAGCCCCGTTTTTATTCACTTACTCGTGGGAACCACAGTCAAACATTTACAGAACCGAATAATAATAATAATATGGCTTGACTATAACAATTCAGAAAAATAAAATGAGCAAGACAACATTATCTCCATAGTAAGTCTTCTTGGGAGGTTAGCATGTCTCCCGAGAAACTAGGGGAGCACCCGCATTCTGGAGATATCTCCTCAGCAAGCATTCTTGCATAAACTTTCTCATGAGACAAAGGCTCTCCAGGCATAAATGCTCAAAGTTCAACTTAATTCAAAATCTATATATTGAGACTGGGTCTCCCTGTAGTCCCAGCTGGCCTGGAACTCCCTGTGTAGACCAGACTGACCTCGAGCTCACAGAAATCTGCCTGCTTCAATCACCAAGCATGTGTTTAAAGCCACAGGAACACTATTTCCCAGTCCCTTCACTTGGGGCCACTATGTCATTCTTAGATCCTTGTTGGGTGCTTATACACTTCGACAGATTTTCTCCTCACTCTCCAACAGAGAAAAGTCTCAAAT